CCCCTGCCCTGGCAGCAGGTCCAAGAGAAGCCTGAAAGTGCTGGAGGGGATGCCCAGACTGAGCAGCTGCTGAGCAGCAGTTTGTGCTGTTCACCTGGAAACAGAGAGATTTGGTTTATTTTTTTTTGCAAAGAGAAGTCTAGCTTGTGGTTAGCTCCTGGCAGCAGGTGGCTGCTTTGGACCCTCTCTGAAAATGAGCACAAATAAAAAACAGGTTCCAGCCTGCTAAGAAGACCAAGCAGATCCATCTGCTTCTCTTTGCCTGCCCAGAAGTTTGTCCTGCAAACCAACCTCCAAAAAAAGGGGTGAGGTGTTTGGTCTGTCTGGGAGACACGGTGTCCTGGGCAGCTGCTAGACCAGGATTTCTTGGTGTTAATGGAAACTCTCTGCTGTGATCTTGCCATTATGGGATGTGTATGTGACCTGCCACCCTGCCATCCTCCTAGAATGCCTCCATCAGCACAGGATGCAGATTTTTCTCCCTTACATTTAACAATTTCATTCCATTTCATGCTCTGAGAAGATGGTTGCACCTGAGGACAGTGCTGGGGCTCCCATTTTTAAAAAAAAACCAAAGAGAAACCACAAAATTAAGATGATGGCCTTGTGGGTGTGGTTTGTATACTGAGACTGAGAGGGGACAAAGGAATCAGTGTCTCCTCCCAGGCTCAGCCCTTGCTCGTTCTCACCTCTGCAGGTTGGATGTACCTTCAGGTGCTACAGGCTTCAGTTGCCATCAGCCTTTTCCCTCCCCAGTTTTGGGAGCAAACCCACTGCCCTGGGAAGGGCTGTTGGAGGGGAAGGAGCATCTTCTGGCTTGAAAGCATCCCTTGTTTTCTGCCTGTGTGAGTCCCCATGCTGCTCAAGGCACACACCACCCCTGCAGCCAAAAAGCCAACAGGGAGAAGAGCAGGTGAAAACATTTTTACAGTAAAAATAACATGAATCAGTTCATACTTCAGTGTATTGAATACACGTCCAACACTGTCTGAGCCCGATTTCTAATGGCACACACCAGCCCTAAATAGACTTTCTTAAAGTCCTGACTTCCAGAGGCTAAAATCAGAGGTCTAGGGGAGAAGTTCTCACTCTGCTTTGAGGAAAAAAAAAAAAAAAGTCTCTTTCTAGTTATAGAGGTTGCAGAGCGAAGCCTGAAGGTGTTACCTGCTTGTGCAAAAAAAAAAGTCTCTTTCTAGTTGTGGAGGTTGCAGAGCGAAGCCTTGAAGGTGTTACCTGCTTGTGTCCTCAGGCACAGGCACTGAGCAGCAAAGAAGCAGCATCAAGTGATGGTTTGGAAGGTCTGATTCAAGGTTTTTGGGTGCTTAGGAGTGGCAATGTGCCCACAGCAAGTCACAGCCAGGGATGGTTGGATTTGATGATCTTCAAGGTCCCTTCCAACCAGGGTGGTTCTGTGGTCAAGCAGCTGGTTGGGACCATTTACACTGCTCAATTAATTTTTCCATCTCTGAGGAATGATACAGCACAAGTATGAACACTGCTGCCTTAATTTACCCACCAAACCTCTTCATATTAGTCCAAGGATCATTACTAATTGGTAATTTGATAGGAAACAGGCAAGACTGTCCCATGCCAGGCAGGTGGTGCAGGGGGAGCTGGTGCTGGTTTCTCTTGGAGCTACACCAGCTTTTCCCAGAAACAACCTTCCCAGGCAAAGGAAGGACAAAAGGATGGGATTTGTGTTGGCACAGTGTGATGCCAACAGGTTGTAGGTACCGTTGTACCTGTAGTTCCCATCAAACCTGTGCTGCCATCAGACCTGTAGTCCCAGGACAACATCAGGGGAGCCTGGACCCTCTGAAAAAGAGGCAAGAAACCTCTTCAGCAACGGGCTGTTACTCCAGGAATGGCTCAGCA